GTGGCTTTGTGTTTGTGGTGAGCCTGCGTGCTCCTTATGCCGGTTTGTGGTTTTTTATGGCATCTTTTGCTTTGTGGGGAGCCTGCGTGCTCTCTTTTGCTGCTCATGACTTTGTGGGTTTTCCCACGTGTTCTTGACTGATAGTTATCAGTCATCCTCTTGGGGTATGCCCCTCGTATTTGTATTTTTTTGTCTTTTATACATACTTACCTTATCCAAAAAAACTTTCCGGATTTCACAAAGTAAAAATTGCACAACATTACAGTGCTGTAGTGCTTAAAAAGTTGAGACACCTAACATAGAAAAATGTTTCAAATTCAGTACAACAATTCTGCAAAATCCAAACCCCATATAACAAAATTCCAAAGAAGAATAATTTTTCAAAGGTATTGAACACTTAACAATCCCATCACCACTACCCACACATGGTTGAACAAAATAAAAAAGTAAACATACCCAGATATTAACAATTGGAGCAACAACTGACCTGGCCATTAGCCAAAACAACAGGATCAGCCATAATCTCTTTAGAAATAAGACATCTGAAGCTTATGGAACATCTAAGCAATCAGCACTAATAGAATGAGTTGGTCCCATCCATTCAGGGGCATACCGGTTCCTTATTTATATTTGTGTACGAGATATAAGATACATCAACAAAATTTCCCATTGAAATCTATTCTATTTCTCATTTCTTGTACATTAAATTTGTGATTTCTCACTAAGTTCAGTGTTGAATTATTGGAAGTGGTGATTAATAATTCCAAATATTGGTTTCAAATATATTTATCTAAATTTTTGCAAAGAAAAACAATTTACTAAGATAAAAGTACTGTTAAAACAAAATTTAAAAACCAGAAGCAACCCAATTAAAGAAAGAATCAAAGTTTTGAAATTTTTGCATACATGGACTCAAACAAAACGAATATGAGAACAAAGCAAGAAAACATAAAGTATGCACCTTGCGAACTAGACTAACAGTTACATTTTGGGTTGAAGCAGCAACACCTTTATAAGGCTCCTCACCCACAGGCTTGTCCTCTTTAGTGAAAGGGAGTCCTTGATTAAAAGGTCGCCGAGCTCGGCGATGGTCATCGTTGTAGATGGCTAGACATTACCACAAATAGTTAGCGTGTAATCAAAACCCATTACTAAAATACACAAACAAAACCTTTGACGTTAGCTACCCTTCACTCAAATTGAACATTAACACAAACTTTGAAACGGCCATTGAAACCAACAAGAAAGGGAGAAAAGAACAAGAGAATGGAAATGAGTGCAAATAAATCAGCCACTCACCTAACTGCTGCTTGTCTTCACCACCGTCGTTCATCGTTTATGTTTCGTTTGGGATGAGAATCCAACATTTTTTCTTTTTTGGGTTCCCTCCAAATTTAGGGTTATTTTTTTTTTTTTTTTTTTAAATTTAGGGGAAGAGATGTAACAATTGGGTGACGTGGTAGATGATGTGACTGCCACATAATTAAGGGAGTAAGGTTAGCATCATTTTAATGAGATTTGTAAATAAAATAAGTTGACAAATACTTTTTATTATATTTTTCATTTTAGTTTTTTTAATATATTGCCTTTAATTTTTTAACTTATATAATTATACATATATTATTTTGGAAAAAGAATATCATAATTGCAATAGATATGGATATTTAAGTCATTTTAGGTAGGGCTGTGAAAAACCGGTTAACCGAACCGGTTGGGGCATTTTTCGAACCGAACCGAAAAATCGGTTTAAGCAAAAATCCAAACCGAAACCGAACCGAATCAATGCTTAAACCGATTTTAAACCGGACCGAATAACCGGTTCGAAAAACTGGTTAACCAACTTGAACTGAATTTTAAATATAAAAAATTTATAATCTTCTTTCAATCCAAAGCATTCCTTTCGGAGGCAATAACAGATTTGATTATCTCATGATTAATCTTGGAATGGCGCCTTGAAGGTCTGCAAAAACTCATAACAATAAGTTCTAGACACAATAACACAAGAAAACAAATTAATCAGAAATAGAGATTAGAAGGAGAAGCCACGTACCTCAAAAGTTTCGTTGACGATAAGGAATTTCTAGAACTAAGACTAAGAGGAAGTTGTTTCTTTCCTCTTCATGCCAAAGAACTCAAGTTTCAGTCACGAGAAAGAGAGAGTATGAGAATGGAATTTGAATACTTGAGAGAAAGAGGAGATGACAACTTAACTGGTAAATTGGGAGAGAGAATGAAGAAGCATGAACCACGAGGTACACATCCACGCATGAGATGTAGAAATGAGAGAGAGAGAGAGACATCTAGGGGTTGGGTTTGGTTTGACTTGTAAATGCACACTCTCCCATGTTCTTAACAATATTAAACAGGAGAAAAAATAGTACTTTTTTTTTTAAAACAGGTTTTAAAATCCAGTTTTGGTTAACCGGTTTGAAAAAATCTATAAACCAAAAACCGAACCAGATAATCGGTTTATGAAATTTTGAAAACCGAACCGATTTACAAAAAAATCGAATTTTCGGTTCGGTTTGGTTCGGTTCGATTTTCGGACTTTTTTTCACACCCCTAATTTTAGGAAATCAAGTTAAAGGTAGCAGTGTCCTCTAATTTGGAATTCTCACTCTCCATTAGTAACTTATAATTCAACCAAAGTTCGTGGAAAGTTTGATCATGAATATTTGATAATTAAATCATCACATAACTAAAGATAAGCCTCATTATACATAAATTTGTTTCAATGGGGATTTCTATAATTTCCAATATATACTTTCTGCCTTAAAAATTACTATTTTTCAAAATTCAAAAACTTATTACATTACAATAATTAATCAAATAAATGTGATAGAAGAACATATATTGAATCCATAGTAACAACTGCAAATTTTCTAAATATGAAAAATTAATAAACCAGATAAATTTAATAATAAATGGATCTCATTAATTTCATTGAAATAATAATAAAAAAAATCCATTAACTTTAATTAAATTGTTTAATTAGAAGCAAAATAAATTGAATTTTTGAATAATCCCTAACTAAAAAGTGAATGATGTGACAGTGAATAAAGGAATTCTAAACTATCTTCTTTTAGTTACTTTATTTTAACTTTTTGAGTTGTAAATTCTCTATGAAAATGCTACACCACAACCTCTTTTCACAAATTTTCTTTTTCAACCTTGATGTGATAGTTCGTAATTAGTCAGCTTATAATGAATCTCACCTGAGTCCCACCTAATAAATTATGGTTGACCAATTGCGAGCTGCCATATCGAGGTTGTGAAAGAAAATTTGTGAGAAGAAATTGTGAGTGTAACATCAATCATTCTCTATTCTTTTCTCGTCATGTAAGTAAAAATAAGGTAATACTACATTTACAATCCAATATTGCAAATTTTCCCTCACAACATCGACGTGATGTTTCAGCTCGCAAATGGATCTCGTCTGCTAGCTATGGGTCCCGTTTGTCAATTTGCGAGTTAACCAATTGCGAGTTGTCGCGTTAGGGTCGTGAGAGAAAGTTTGTAAGATAGGATTGTGAACCAATCTTTACCTGTTTCCTTTATTATTGAACGAGACGAACATTTTGGGCTCACTCAACCTTATTGACATTTGGGTTGGACTGATTTCACCCCATTTATTGGCTGGGAAAGAAATGAAAAAAAAATATTGCTCCATGTGTTTTTCATCCTTTATGTCAAAGGAAAATCTTTTAAGAAACTAGAAAATTAATCAAATGTGACATACATTTGATGGCTATGTTATTTAAACAAAAACTAAAATTTACAAATGCAATGGAAAAAGATAAATACAGTTTCAAAAAATTGTCGGAGAGTTGGGCTAAATAAAATGGGCTCAGGCCCAAAGTGCATCAACTAGCCCATACAAGGCAAAAGAAAGTCCATTTAATGGGCGTTTGGATCATATAATGTTTTATTATAAGGAGATATTATATTAACAGAAAGATAAATCACCTTGAAGATTATTGAGAATGTTTAGAAAATGTGTTTAGTTGGTTCAAATAAATTGGTGAATAATATGTTTGGTTGGAAGGATAATTGGTGGGTATGTTATATAAATTACTAAATTGCCCTCCTTTTTAAATATTAATATAATAGTATTTTTTATTATTATTTTTTGAATCATTTCTTTTAACCAACATTTGAAATTTCGCTAAAATACCTCAGCCATATAAAGCTTTAATTTGTAGCAAAATCACCCCCACCCACCCTAAGCCACTGCCAGCAGCCAGCCATCACCACCGGCAGTCGATGGAATGACGCACGACTGGCTGTATATGGCTAGCCGTGCTCCAGCAAAGCCATTTCCGACCATGGATCACAAATCCATGGCCATTTCATGGCTATATCTGTGGCCATTTCAAAGCCAAAGATGTGGCCTTGAAACGGCCACAGATCTGGCCTTTTCACGGCCACATCTTTGGCCGTAAAACAGCTATAGAAACGTCAGATCTGGCTGAAAAATACCTTATTGGTGCACGACCGGCCAGATCTTGCCGGTCGTGCACCATTACTGCAACTAATGCTGGCAGTGGCGAGTAACGGCTGACAGTAGTCTTGGGTGGTTGGGGGGTAGTGGGTGGTTGGGGGTATTTTGTTAAGTTTTAAGTTTTTTAGTGGCTATGATGTTTTAGCTAATTTCTCAAATGTAGGGAGGCTGGGTAACAACAATAAACACTTTTTGCAATAAAATATTCTCGTAATCATTTATTACTTGGAAACCAAACACTAGAATCTTACAAAATAAACGAAGATTACCCCTATCATCTTATATGCCCCGATCCAAAACCCTTTTTAAAGAAGAGAAAAATGACTTCATTACTCAAGGGCAAATATGCCTATAAAAAGACGATGATGTCCTTTAAAAAAGTTAATTTCTTATAAATGGTGTCCTCTGATTGTATATTTTTAAAAAAAGTGTCCTCGCACAAGATTTGGGAGTATACCAGAATTTGAGTTATAAAAAAAGGAAATAATATACAAAAGAAAAGAATAAAAGATATTTGTTTGAAAGATCCAGGGAACCAACGAAGAAGATATGCTGTTTGAGTTTCAGTTTCAGCCAAACAACCTCCGACTCTAAAAGTTTCTAATTTCATCCCCCAAATGTTCCTTTGAAACACACCCCTTCTCGCTTTCTGATTGGATGGGGACTCTTGCCACCTCCTCTTTCACTCTTCATTCACTTCCTCGTAACACTCACACACTTCACCTCTTCAACCTCAAAAACTCTTCTTCTTCTTCTTCTCATTCTTTTCCCACCAGACGACTTTCTTATAAGACTCTGAATTCTCGAAAATTTTTTAGGTTTAGGTTTTTTTGTTCCCATAATAACGATGTAGAGAAGCGTGAGGATAATTTGTCCAATGATTCTGGTGTTAAAACGGCGACGCCTGACGAAGCAGAGGAGAAAAAGAGTGATGAATTTGGTTCAGAAAACACACCCACCTCTGTTTCTTCGAGGGTAATTTGTTTTTGTCTTCCTTTTTTTGTTGGTTTAGCTTTTCTTAATGATGACTTTGATTGTAAGTTGTTAAGGCATTGTTTAGTTGGCATTTGGAGAAATGTATAGCTGTTTTAATGGTGTTATGGAAGTAGTTAATGGTGTTATGGAAGTAGTTTGTGACTGATAAGAGAAGTTTAGAATTATGGAAGTTGGATTGTTCTAAAAATGATATAATTTGTCTTATTTAAAAGTGAATTTTCTTAATGGAGAGTGAGCATTCCAAATTAGAGGTCTATGTACAATGAATTAGTAGTTTTGAAGTGTGCAGAGTTTCAATTCTCCATTAAACTCATTTCTTTATATTGATATTATAACCATACTGAGGTGCATGATAAGACTAAGCACGTTTATGTTAGTAAGCGAAGTAGACTAGTTCACATTTCCTTGTCAAACTTTAGACATTTCAGCCTGAAAATTTTATCACATTGTTGCCAAGTGGAAAAGAAAATTGGAAGTCTTAAAAGAAACTCCGCTATTGGTTGTGTTATGTACTGATAGAACTACTAGAAGCCAGTGACTTATGATGTTTTAGACTGGAAGTGTACGTGTACAATGCTGTTGTATGGTCAACGACTTTTTGAAGTCTGCCCAGTAAGATGGTTCATGTTTGTATCTTTGTGAACTAAGTATACGGCTCAGTTACGTTGTACATTTCCTCAATCGAGCTTAGGGCATTTCCACCCAAAATTTTGGAGAGAATGTACTCATCTTTCACTTGGATGTCCTTTAAGTTCTTGATTTCTGTTCGGAAATAGTGTTATTAAAACTGATCCATAATCTATATTTCTTTTTCAATTTATCTTGCATGTGGTTACTTTCCATCAATGAATATTGTTGGCTCACTTTTTTTTTTTTTTTTTTTTTTTTTTTTTGTTGTATGTAGAAAACTGAAATATATATTATTATGACAAGGGCAAAGAGAGATAATTTGTGAAAATAAGACTGAAAATGGGATGAATGGGTGTTTGTGTTTGTGTAATATGCTAAGCTGACGATTCTGATAGTAACATATCAATATTTTCCTTCATCAGCCACCAACTATATCTCCAATTGGACCAGCCTATAATAATTTCCAAGTTGATTCTTTCAAGCTGATGGAGCTTCTGGGACCTGAAAAGGTAGACCCAGCAGATGTAAAGCTAATAAGGGATAAGCTTTTTGGTTATTCAACATTCTGGGTAACCAAAGAAGAACCATTCGGAGATCTTGGGGAGGGCATTCTTTTTCTTGGAAATTTAAGGGGTAATAGAGAAGATGTATTTGCCAAACTTCAGAGACAGCTGGCTGAGGTTACAGGTGATAAATACAACCTGTTTATGGTGGAGGAACCCAATTCTGAAGGACCAGATCCACGTGGTGGACCTCGTGTTAGCTTTGGCTTGCTGCGGAAAGAGGTCTCTGAACCAGGGCCAACAACACTTTGGCAATATGTGATTGCTTTCTTGTTATTCCTTTTGACCATTGGTTCTTCTGTGGAGTTAGGAATTGCATCTCAGGTTAGCAAGTTGCTAGCTCATTTTGACAACTTCAATGGCACTAATTGTAGATGTTTCTACATAATTCTATTTCCTTTATCTTTCTGGAGGTCATCTAGTTTCTTTGTCATTTAAAAATGTATAGTATTAATTGGATACAATTTGTTAACAGATTAATAGACTTCCTCCGGAGGTAGTAAAATACTTCACGGATCCAAATGCCGTTGATCCACCTGATATGGAGCTTCTATACCCTTTTGTAGAGACTGCTTTGCCCCTAGCGTATGGTGTCTTGGGGGTTTTGCTATTTCATGTAAGCAACATTTTATTTTTATTTTTTTTATTTTAGTTTTGGTTGAATGAATGCATGACATATTTTGGTTGCCTATGACTCAATCAGTGGTGGGCTGTATGCCAGATCTTTATGCTCCTATTTTCTTTTCTTTCCTTCAAATATGAAGTGCATGCAACTCATGTTACACGTATCCACCATGATAGTTTATTTTTATTATTACTAGTGTATCGAGAGAAAGGGGTCATGTGAATGCCTAAGTTGATAGTTAAACAAAAGGGACATAATATGGATTTTGTAGAATCTTTTTTGTTACTTGACGTAACAAGAAGTCATTTTTTTTTTCAAAATTCCTTCTTCAATTATGTTGGAGTCTCGTTCTCCAATAAATCATTAGGTTTCTCATGTATTCATAATGCTATCCAATTTTAGTGTGTTATGCTAAGTCTTTGATTGACTTATTAAAATGTTTTACATTCAATTCCAAAACCATATCATTGCTGACAGCAGATTTTGAGGAATCAAGTTTAATATTCTATTTTAATTGTTTGTGTATATAGTTGTTGATTATACATATGTGATATATAGATTTATATTTGGTAGAGTATCATGCGGGACAGTGATATTGCCTTTGACTCTTCTAAACCTAAAACACATTGTGGAAATTTTCTTCTCTCGTTATTGTTGGCTGATCCACAAAACTTAATTTCTTTTGGCTGATTACAGTACCATGTCATATGTTTCTTTTCCTTCTTTAGTGTCTCACCAAAAACTTCACATTTTCAGCAAGATATCGCAACATACATATTCTTAGTGAGTTTGAATATCAAACAGTGACAGGTTTTCTTATTAATTGCTTAATTTGTTTTAATCTATTCATATATTAGTGTCTCCTGTCCAAGTAACATAATCAAAGTTAGTCACATGTGTCCCATAAATTCATTTTTTTCCTTAAAGAAACATATGTGTGTAGTTAATTCTTATACTATGGTTTATATGTTACATGATAGAAACGGTTGTTTGCAGGAAGTGGGCCACTTTTTGGCTGCTTTTCCGAAGAAAGTAAAACTGAGCATTCCGTATTTCATTCCAAACATCACTCTTGGCAGCTTTGGTGCAATCACTCAGGTAAGTCTATTGAATTGTTAAGGCAACTTCTGACTCTGAAACAACTAGGTAAATTGTAATATCTACTTTCAAGTGGAATGTATGTCTACTTAGTGTTAACTAGGTGCCCATGTACCAAGATTTGCTTGTTGGATGAATGCAAATAATAGGACATACCCATATGTTATCCATGGTGAAGTCTAAGCCATCTGACTGAAAATCTAAAATGTATGGATTTATGAGTTGTATAATCAAGTCACAGTAAACTCATTTTTGAGCTATGATTGGCCGATTGGGTAAGTACCTGAAAGAGGACAACATTCTATGTTGACCATGGAGTTAAGAAACTTTGTTCAGAAATTATGTACTTGAAAATAGTCCAAAATGTTAGTCCTATTAGTTGTGGCTTTTTCACTTTAGTAGAGCATTCGGAGTTCACCTCTATTTACTCCTGCAGCTTCCACTTGAAGAAATTGTCATTTTGTCAGGCTGTGTCTAAATAAAGTTTTGCATCATATTTTATGGTATATTGGCTCCAATATATGGTCAGTTGATTGATTTGAAGTCTCAGAATCTTGTGAGGTGTCTCCTTAGATCTTGTATGCATATGGACCTTGATTATTTGACTAAGACAATTAATAATTCTTTTGTACTAAAAATATTTCTTTTTCTTTCCTTAAATTTTTTTTTTTTCCACTCTCACATTTGTTTCCTGATATCACTTCTCTTGTTTTATGCTTTGTAAACCCTAGATGTTTTCATGTTCTTGTTGATGCTGGAGCATTTGTTCATATGATTTATTTTATGCTATCTCTGCACCAATAGGTACTGAAGTTATCTATACAGCCTAGATCTAACTTTACCTTGTTATTTTACTCTTAATGATACAAAAAGTGAGGAAGATCAGTCAATATATTTGGTGAAACTGAAAAGTTTATATAATTATTGTTTAGAGTCTATATTGTGATAATAAATTGGAGAATTGCAGCTTATCAATTGCTAATATTTGTAGTTCAAATCCATTCTTCCTGATCGTAGTACGAAAGTTGACGTATCACTTGCGGGTCCATTATCTGGTGCTGCATTGTCTTTTTCAATGTTTGCTGTTGGCCTTTTGCTGTCATCAAATCCGGATGCTGCGGGAGACTTGGTGCAGGTTCCTAGCTCGCTGTTTCAAGGATCTTTGCTCCTTGGTCTCATCAGTAGAGCTACTCTTGGTTATGCGTATGTCCTTTCTTTGCTTTCATGGCTTTAATTCAACTAAAACTGTATTGGCATGTGACTAAGCTTAAATTCATGGATGCGATACTATGTTTCTTGTTTGGATTAATCTAGCAGATGTTTTATGTGAGCTGCTGAAGTCTTGCTCTCATCATGAATATTTTGGATTGACACATTGTCAATATTAACTTGCAGAGCAATGCACGCATCGACAGTTACAATTCATCCTTTGGTGATTGCTGGCTGGTAGTCTACAATTTCTGGACTCTCTTATTTCCCTTTTATAGCGTGTAATATACTTACAATACAATTTTTTCACAGGTGTGGCTTAACCACATCAGCATTCAATATGCTTCCAGTGGGTTGCCTTGATGGTGGAAGAGCTGTGCAGGTACTCTTCTTCTGTTTGAACTAGGACCATCTGCATTATTAAAGCTTGAGCATCAACCGAAGGGTATTATGGAGCTTGAACACAATCTAATCATTTCCAGAGATTTAATTACATGTTTTTACAGGGAGCTTTTGGAAGAAATGCACTGGTTGGATTTGGCTTGACAACTTACACATTGCTAGGATTGGGAGTGGTATGCATTCTTTCTTTAATTATTCTATTGTCAGTACAGCTTCACATTGCTCCATCAACCTCGACAGTTGATTTCGGTTGTTAAGGCATGTGGTTTATACCAAGAGGTCATGTTTCAACTCCTTTTATGGTCGCCTATTTAGGATATTTATAGTCGACAAATTTCTTCATTATTAAGGTTATAAGGTGCAATATTGATCCCCAGTTTTGATGGATCGCTGGGCATCCCACAATAAATAAATAAAAATGCTGCATCCATGTTGATCTTATATTTGATTTTCACTCAGAGTACTAATCTAAGGGAATGTTAGTCAATGTCATAGTTATATTCAACTGAAATGTGCTATATTTGCCCCCTTTCAGCTCGGTGGACCTTTATCTCTTCCTTGGGGCCTATATGTGTTAATATGCCAGGTATGCAGATAATAAGACTTTTAGTAACCATAATTACTATACCGATTCTCAAGCTTTAAAACCCCGTCTCATTTCTGCTCGGAAAATATATGTTCAGAGGACTCCAGAAAAACCATGCTTAAACGATGTGACAGAGGTTGGAACATGGAGGAAAGCATTTGTTACAGCAGCCATTTTCCTTGTATTGTTAACCCTCCTTCCAGTATGGGATGAACTTGCAGAAGAAATAGGTATAGGTCTGGTAACCACATTTTGATTTGAGTATACATAAAGGCAATTTTTGACATAAAAAAAGTGTAGCCAAATGAGTTGTTTTCAATCTGTAATTAATTTCTTACATTTTTCATATATTTAGCTTCTAGGTTGTATCTCAATCAAGAATTTAATTTTAATAAGCATTTATATACATCTTTTTGTGCTTGAAATCTTAATATGCCTACATTTAGTTTATTGAAATATATTTTCACAGCCTAAAAAAGATTTTGGATGCATTTTGTTGGTACAAATTCGAAAAGGGGAAAAAATTATTGATATGAACTATATATAGACAAATAACATAATTAAAATTATTGGATAATTTGATTGAACACATTTATTAATGTGCATATTGTAAAATAAGTTTAATTAATTAATTAAACTAAGTAATTAAATTGAGGAAATAAATATAAAAAATTTTATAAACCCAAAAAGTAGGATGCCATTTCCTTAACATTGTTGAAGTAAAATGCCGAGTAAAGAAAACTCTAAATTTTTTTGTTTTTTTTTTTTTGTTTTGTGTATTTTTGGTAACCGGAGTGTTTGGATCAGTTTGTGGTTATTTCAACTAACTTTGGGATTCATTGAACACTTTACAAGTCTAATGGGCTAGGTTTTTCACCATAGAGAATTCTTAATACAAATTGGAAATTATTTTTGATACAATTGTAAATTGCCTCTTGTTTTCAAAATTATTAGAGTAGTTTGTGAATTTTTTCAATTAATTTTAAATATCAAACTTTCTCATATATGATATTTGTTCATTATTCAAAATAACTTTTGAAAAATATTAATTTTAATTATTCTAAAATAGTAAATAATTAAATAAAGAAAACCGTTTGCCGTGCCCTCTAACTTATCAAGTCTCAATTTTTTGCTAACTAACTATCAACCTTTAGTAACTTACCCCCAAAGTCTTAAAAAATAACAACCTCTCCCTAAAACTGTAACACCATCCAAGCTTAGTTAAATACACAGGTAAATGTCTATTCATTTCTCTCTTTTTTTTTTTTTTTTCCCCATCACTTCCACTTTCTTCTCCCTAACATTTTTTTTTTTTTTTTTTGGATCTACTATTGTAGCAGTTGTACACGGGATGAGACACGAGTCGAGTAGCTCGAGCTACTCGCTCGGCTCATCTAAGCTTGGTTAGACTCAAAATCAGTCGAGTCGAGCTCGAGCTCGAGCAGCTCGTGAACAGTAACAAGCCAGTTCGATCCGAGTTGAGCTCGGCTCGTCGAGCTCGCGAGCTTAAACGGCTTGGGGGCCAATTTGTAAGATTTTAAAGTTTTATTTTTAAGTTTCAACATTAACAACAACACCCATACCCATTCCCAGACAAAAACAATAAACCCATTTCAAAGCTCAAACAAAAACTCAAAACCCATTTGGGATTTTTTCTTTCGGTTTCAAAAATCCAACTTCATTCATCCTCGGTTCCATTCAAGCTTAAATGTGACGAAAATAATGAAGGAGAAAATCTGAAGGAGCAGAAGAGGAAAGAGAAGAGGAGGTGAGAATAGGGAAGAGAATATGGAAGAAGTAAAGAAGAAAGAGAAGAGAATGGGGAGAAAGAAAAGAAAAAAAGACGAAGGAGAAGATTTAAAGAAGTAAGAAAAGAGAAGGGAATAAGGCAGAAAGAGAAGAGGATGGGGAGAAGGAGAGAAAAAAAAAGATGAGGTGACAAAATGAGGTGATAGGTGAAAAGAAGAAAGAGAAAATGAGGGGAGAAAGAGAAAATAAAAAAAAATGAGGTGATAACATGTGAAAGGACGAAAGAGAAAATAAGGGGAGAGAGAAAATATAATATTTTAGTATTGAGCTCGAGGAGCTAGAGCTTGAGTACACTTTCATAGTACCGAGCTCAAGCTCGAACATGAATACTAAAGCTCGATTGAGCTCGAGTTTGATACTATTTATCATGAGCCGAGCTCGAGTATCAAGATACTCAGCTCGGCTCGGTTCGTATACATCCCTAGTTGTACACCATTACAATAGCAATTGCTGCCTCGTGTGCGTTTGCACAACTAGCCGCTTCCTAGTTCTCTTGGCGACAAACTTCCACTCCCCGCTCTTCCTTGCTCCATTCCAACCAAAAAACTCGGAAAATTCTAGGTTTTTCATACACATGTTTCCTCCTTTCTAGTTGATTATAATGACTTCTTAATTTCAGATTAATAAAAGCAAGAGGAAAACAAAAAAGAGCGAGATAAAAAAAAGGGAAAGAGGAGAAATGAAAAGACGATTTTACCCTAATTTATTTAATTGATCTTAAACGCTGTTAAGGTTTTAGGGGACGTAATTATCTTTTTAAACTTTGGGGGGTCAGTGGATTAAAAAAGTCAATAGTTACCCGATGTTGACTTTCGGAAACTGCAGGGGCAAATGATTTTCTTAGTTGAGGTAATAAACCGACGCCGTTTCGTCTAACATCATTAAGCAAAAGCCAGAACGAAGACAACTCGGAACCACTTAAATGTCATTCATCGACTCACCGGGCCCAAGAAACTGCAATCAGAAAACTCTCAATGAAGAGAGCGGATTAATTCAATGTGCTCACCTAATCCTTCCATGGCTTACCCCCTCCGAACTGGCCCATACATCCCTCACATGCAAAACCCTCTCTCATTTCTCCAAAAACGTCGCTGGATCCCGCTCTCTCGACGCTTCCAGATCATTCGAGAACCTTCCCGTCCCATTCCACAACACTCTCGATAAAACCCCCTACGTCCACTTCCTTTACACCCCGTCACAAATCCTCTCTTCTTCTCCCTCCCAATCTCCGCAACGCCAGTTTTGGGGGTCCACTTTTTATACCAAACCTAGACCCGGTTCACTGAGTAAACTCGGTCCGAGTTCGGTCGGAGATCCGGCCGATTGTTCTGCAGGACTGAGTCGGCTCGGGCTGAGATGTGAGAAACTGAGTGGAGATTGTCTTGATTTAGGGATTGAGTTGGGTGAGAATGATTGTGGGTGCGAGTGTGAGAAGTGTTTGGAGGTGGGAGATGATAATGGAGTGTTTGGGTGTCCTTGTTTCTCGGGAGTGGAGGATATGGGGATAGTAAGTGAGTGTGGACCGAGTTGCGAGTGCGGGTTGGAGTGTGAGAATCGGTTGAGCCAGAGAGGAATAGGGTTCCGGTTGAAGATAGTTAGGGTTTTGAAAAAAGGGTGGGGCTTGTTTGCTGATCAGTTCGTACCTCGAGGCCAATTCGTTTGCGAGTATGCAGGTACCAAAAATGAGAGTTTTTGCATTATCTTGCAAAATTTATAGTTTTTTTATTTTTTTCTGGTGGTTGATATTTCTGATTTTGGATTATAAAATTGTGCCATCATGAATCATAGAGTTTCTATTGCCTAATGCTTGTGGGTGACTTTGAATATAGCATTATGTTGTGAGCCATTTATGAAGTTATTGTTTACACTGGTACATGTGTTGTATTAGAATTCGGTAGGATTAAAGATGAAATTAAACAGAAGAAGATATTATCAATTAATTGATTTTTGACACAATGCAAGAAGAGTTAGGTTTTAATGTTTGCCAAATGGATAAAGTAACTAGCAACATGAAGTGGCTATATCAAAGTCCAGTTGAAGTTGGAAAAAACTCATCTCTTCTTCCTTCTCTCTTGGTTCTGCCTCTATTCCACACAGTCCTTTTCTTTCTTTTATCACTTGTGCAACACACAATTGCTGTTGTTTGTTTATTTTTTTTATTTTTTTGTCCTATTTAATTGTGTGGTGCAAATAACAGCATAATGCAAGATGGTGATATACATGCTCTATTTTCTTAGTTACTTACCTGTGTGAGTTCTGCTACATGTGGTTGACTTTAATTGATAAAAAACTCAAGCAAGTTCACCACACACACACACACACACACACACCAAAAAAAAAAAAAAAAAAAAAAAAAAAAAAAAAAAAAAATGTACGAGGGTGAACTATTTTCACACTGAATTGAGATTCATCCATGATGATGTTATCATGATAGAAAACCAAGAATATTATGATACCTCTAGATTTTATTGAAGAGCAAGCCTCTTTGTAAACTTATTATTTGGATGGTTGGGATTTAAAATCAAACTACTATCCTTTGGCTTTTCATGGTGCCTTATTTTCAATGTAAGTTTGGTTTTCCACTTGTGGATTATTATTTGACTTGTATGTGGTATTGGTCATGTTGGGTATTTATATTAAGTTGATGATGCATAATTCCGTTTTTAATTAGATGAAAAAGGAAAAGTTTGTTGTTGCATATTGGTTTGTTAAGTTCTTTCCCAAAAAAAATTGTCCACACATTTATATGTCATCAGGTGAATCACCTAGGTTGTGAATTTTCATGTAAAACCAAATAAAGATCAATGTGGTTAGACTTAGAATGAGAAGGGACTAGTTGGATCTTGTTGCTAAAGGCCCCTTAAGATATTTTGGAAGTTTGGGGAAAGAAGTATTGAATTTTATTTGTGTTGAGATAATTTGAGAGTACTACATAGCACATTTATGTACTATTAAGTTATAGGGTTTCACCATCCAACAATTTTCTGTTCTTTTACTGCTGATATAGAAATTAGTCAATTGGGTTGTGTTTTTACGGCTAGATAATGTCAAGATTTGATTGAAGGGAACAAAGTTTGTCAACATACTGAAAAGAAACAGAGGATAGAACTTCAAGTGCGCTTGTAGTGTACTGGCTTAACCACGTGGAAGTCCAAGTCAATTTTTTGATGATTTAAGCTTTTAGCATGAAAACTACCTTAAAAGTAATTCTTTTTCTTTAAAAAAGCCATAGCTACTAAAGACTTGACTTGAGCATAAAAGTGGTTTAGCTGGCACACCTTCAATGGTCTTGATGTTCTCTCATTCTCTCTTACTGCATTCCCTTTAACATAATCTGCATATTTTGCAAATAAACGCATGCACAATTGACAACTTTTTTGTGTCTACATTCGCCACTACTTATTGTTTCTCTGGTTCTCCAGCTACTTATTGTTGGCATACGAAGTTGGTTACTGCTCATGAGAATTTGAATAGTGGAGTAAAATTGAGTCTTGTTATCCTGCAGGACCTGTGCTTTTTGTTCCTCTTCCAGGGAATCTTCAATTTTTTTTTTTTTTGAAGCTTGTAAGTAGTGGTTTTTTTTGCTAGGGGCTTGTTTGACCCTTTATAGCAAAATCCTGTACTTCTTGGATTTTAGAAGAATTGTAGAACTGCAAAAACAGGGCTCTTGGAGCCATTATGGCAAACACATAAGCTGCTTCTCAAGAGTGGTGCTAGCATTAGTCACAAGTGCAACAGTTGTTGGTCCTCCTCTTGACACAAGTCTAATGTTCAATTTAATATATATTATTTTTGTACCATGAAATACGTGTCAAAAGGAGGGCCAGTGACTATCACACTCATGATTGACGCTAGCACTCCTCTTGTCTCAATTGGTATGGCTGGACTGGGGTAAGCTGTTTTTGTTGCAGTTACTCTCAATATAAGGGTTAGGGTTAAGGAAACAGTGAAATCAACATCTTTACAAAGGAACTGTAGGTTCTGTTTAGCTTTTCATTTCTTGTTAGAACCAAGGCTAGGTGTTTCTTCACATCAGTGTTGACAATTGGTTTCATTTTATTACTTACCAAAAAACAAAAAAAAAAACAAAAAAATTTGGTTTTCATTTTATTACTGGAATGTTTATGGATTGCTGTAGTAGCCATACCGTCTCTCTTCTCTTGCACAAAAGTAAGCGCATAGTCCTGACATTCCTTTATTATTTGTGTTAACTTCTTATGTAGTTGTTACTATATATCGTTTTTATTTTTCCTATAAGCTGCTGTTATGCCGATATGGCTTGACTGCCTCCTGTCAGCTTATTCGCATACCACTTCCTTTCAGGTCATAAATTAGAATTATATTTTGCACATGTTGATGAGCTTTGCCCAATCAAGGTTTATTATTAATTAGAGAGTGGTTTATTATTAATTAGAGAGTTGTTTACCCTGCCAATATTTATGTTCAGAGACTGTAGATGAATTCCTTAATATTCACTTTATCAGATTAAAATCTGTCTAAGATTATGGACGCTTTCTTGACTAAGATTAGCTAGAGAAAGTAACCAACTTAAGTTTCTTGGGTTTGTACTTCCTCTTCATACTTTGCAAGAACTGGTAGTCTGGTATTACTCAAGCCAGCTTTTTATGACCTTGCAACACATTCTTCCCAAATGCTTTATTTTTGTATAGCATTTCGGTCATAATTGATTGTTTCGATAGTTTCTTCAGCCTGTGCAACATTTTATATTATTTGCTTTTATGAATTGCTTTTGAATCTTGTCATGATGGTTACTTGTATAGGTGAACTGTTGACAACCAAAGAAGCAAGAAGACAGCAAAAAATCTATGATGAACGTGCATTATGTTATGGAATATCTTCTGCTCTCTTAGTTGTCAGGGAGCATCTTCCATCTGGAAAGGCATGTTTGAGGATGAATATTGATGCCACAAGAGTCGGAAACGTTGCACGATTCATCAACCATTCTTGTGATGGTGGTAATCTGTCAACAATACTGGTGAGAAGCTCGGGATCTTTCCTACCTCGTCTTTGTTTCTTCTCCTCCAAAGACATAAAAGAAGGTGAAGAGCTCACCTTTAGCTATGGAGAAATCAGGGTCAGGTCCGAGGGCTTACCATGTTTCTGCGGCAGCTCTTGTTGTTTTGGGATTTTACCATCCGAACATACTTGATCATGTTGCAAATTAAGAGTGGACTGAGAGAGCATTGCAGTTTGCCTTGCTTTTTAATTGCAGAATGAAACCGCTAGTCGATTACAGCATTAGCTTTATTTTTTAGTCATTTTGAATTGAATTTAACTGCAATTACCAGATTTGGTCAACTTTTCTAGTGCCAAACTTCAATTGCCTTTAACATGATTCTCTGTTGATTATTATTACTATTTTTCTTTTTTTGAAAAAAGAGGAATAAATCTTCATCACATTGATAATATTAGCGAACACCCTCATTTCATTTCTTCACTAGGGTTAATAAATATGTGACTAACCATTAATAGGTAGTTCAACAGTTAACTAAGACTTTTAGATATATTATTCAAGAGGTTTTAAGTTTGATTCACATGAGTTGTTAAAAAGATTTATTCAATTATCAATTTTAAGGCATTGGGAGATTAGTTGAAGTGTGCGTAAATCGATTTGGATATTTTCGGTCATTAAGATTCACCTGGGTTGTTAAAGAGATTTAATTGACTGTCAATTTTAGGGCATTGCAAGATTAATTGAAGAATACGCAAACCGATCTGGACACTCTATAAAAAAAAAAAAAAAAAAAAAAAAAAAAAAAAAGTGACAAAAAGACATTGCATCATATAACATAATCTCAAGAGAATAAAGACATATAGATTGTGTAATTGGTTAAATATTAGGATGAGAAATATGCACGTCTGGTTTTTGGTTAGCATCCCACACGCCACGGGCAGCACAAATCTTGTGCCTTCTCAGTTCTCATCAACACAACCCACACTTCTTCGTTCAACAACTTTGACATTATTATATTTACTTTCTCTTAATTAACCTAATTATTTAATTAAACCCACCAACACTTCCTTTCCACGTGCCTTCACAGACTCTTCCCATTTCCCTCCGTCTCTCACCAACCAAACCATTATGTATTTACACCCTAAATTATGCTTTTAAATTAAAACAAAAATATTTAACTTTACATATTTGATAGTATGGACAGAATGTCTAAACCTTAATTACATATATAAAGTGTCACATGAATAATTATGCTCCAATTTATAAAATACCATTTCTGTACATGTGTATATACATAATACAATAATACTTGTTTCTCCTGGAAAGAAAACAAAGAAGCTTCCCACATTCATTTTGCTACCTTATCACGAGACTAACGTGCTTCCTTTCCTTAATTTTTCACATATAACCACCAACTCCACCACCTTTCTGTTTTGCCCTCTCCTTTCCGCCCAAATGGCCGATTCCGAATCCCGACGTCGAGGCTCCAGTAAGCGTTCCTCATCTGTTACATTACCCGGGACAGTCTCTTCGCCATCACTATCATCATCATCATCACCACCACCAGTACCTTCAGCACCATGTGGTGCATGCAAATTCCTGAGGAGAAAATGTGTTAGTGGCTGTATTTTTGCACCCTACTTTGGCACTGACCAAGGAGCTGCCCGGTTTGCCGCAGTGCACAAAGTGTTTGGTGCTAGTAATGTGTCCAAGCTCTTGTTACACATTCCGGTGAACCGCCGCCACGATGCTGTAGTTACTATATCTTATGAGGCTCAGGCACGCCTCTCTGATCCTGTTTACGGCTGTGTCTCCACCATACTTGCCTTACAACAACAGGCAATATTTTTTAACCATAAATTAAGTTATATTTTTCAATATTCATTTAATGCATTATACTACATATATGAAAATTCGATTTTCTTCATCTCATGGATGGTAACTTAATAAAAATCGGCTATTAAAACTATCTATAAATCTTTATAATAATTAACTTAATTGATCATTTTTTAATGCTAATATATTTAATGATTTGCAGGTGGGATCTCTGCAGGCTGAGCTAGCAATGGTGCAAGGTCAACTGCTAAACAGCCGTTTCACCATGGCGAATGCCCTACAAAATTCCCCCCACCACCACCAGCAGCCGCAGCCGCAGCCGCAGCAGCATGTGGGGGTGATGCAGCCCGCCTACTCAAACAGCTCCTCAGTCTCTACGAACTTCATCAATATGAGCAACTTCGCCTCCAACTTCGACCTTGTGGCTGAGACTGCAATGTCAGTGCCATCTTCTCAGAGCATGGATCCCCTCCATGACCTTTCGCGGCCCGCCCTGGATGATGAAGAAGATGAAGAAGAGAGCCAGATTCCTTTCATGTTTACTAATGATGAGATAATTCGTGGCAGGAGATAAATAAAACTTTATGATTTAGGTTTCTTGGTATTTTTGTTTGTCCAAATAATTGATACTGGTGGTGTTGAGGCTTTGCGAGATGGATGCTATAGGTTAATAATAGAATTATTATATGTTATTTTCTCATTTCTTAGAGTAAACATACATTATATTAAATGATTTTTTGCTAATTTAAAGATGGGGATCTGAAAATTATGAAACCAGGGGTGGGAACTTGTAGATTTACGAAACCTTGGGTGGGAGGATGCCGTTTACTCCATAAATTAATGAACTGGTATATGCGACATTAGAAATTAATGAACAATAAATAAATAAGAATATAAAAATTCTTTTCTTAGAATTTACAAAAAGAATATTAAGATTGTTCAAGTTGGTAATAACCTTTTGCAGTTTATAAATAATCAGGCATATTTGATGCGCGATATTGTTTAATATAGTATTGTAATGTGTAATATTACATTGTAGTAGGTAGTACTATATAATATAATACCAAATATAAGGGTGTGTTTGGTGTACTTATTGTATTAAATATACTTATATTTAATTTGTTCATTTTATTAATTATATTTATCTAAATAAATCATTATATTGGTTTTATAAAAACAAGTTTTATTTCATTATAATAGTTTAAAAAAAAAAATTAGAATATATAGTCATCCTTATGTAACTACTATGTATTTTATATGTCAATAATAATTATATATAATTATTCAAAAAATGAGATAAAATTAAAGAGATATAATGAAATATAAACAAGGTGTAATTATTTTTCCCTAGTTTCTAGTTTATCTCGAATTTAATTTAACTTGAGCTTACGATAATCCTTAAAAGCACGATTATCATCAAATATAAATCAAATAATCTTTTAATTAAAACATTATAATAGTCATTTAGATTAATTTCAGATTTTATCTCCACATAATTCATTATATTCATACATTGTTGAAATATGTTGGTTCATTTATCTAGTTGTTTCCTTGTAAGATTTTATATATGTCTTTGGAAAAGTTAATTTAAAAAAGCAATACAACTATAATATGAATCCTGTTAGGAATAGATACATGAATCCTATATTAATTTATAGATGTTGTGTGTAATTTTTCCATCAAGCTCAGAGAATTGCGAGGTTATAGCTTGATACAAAATCAATTCGACTCAATTGATTGTCAGACCCAACATAAGCTTGTCGAGTTGTAGCTCGACCTATCACAAACTAGTCGCGACCAATCCCTACAGTTGTTCAACCAACTCATAGATAACTTCAGATCTCGAATATCTCGGAAGGGACCAGATCAACAGCAATCTTGGCGCTATCGGAGTTGCTCAAACGCTAGAATATCAGAGTTGCATCTCAATCTTGATTGTAATCCCTTTATTTTCGCTATTTCCTTTACACAAAATTTGTATATAAACCCCCTCCAACGATGAGAAATGGGTTAGCAAATTGTTCTAGGATTATTATTGTAAGCTTTCATGGTAAATACAAAAATAGTGGACGTAGACTCAAGAGTTTAACTTGCCGAACCACTTTAAAAATCTTTTGTGTCATTTACTTAATTGTTCTTGATTCATTACATTGTTGGTTACCTGTAATCATGCACTCGTCAGTTTCAATTCCGTCAAGGTCAATCAGATCACTATAGTTGGTGAAAAATCTTGCATCAACATTTTGGTGTTAAAAGGAGGGCCTTTGCCAAAATCTCAGAATTTCCAGCTCAAAGCCCACAATGGTTCTTACAAGATTAAAAACCACCACCAAAAACCATGACAATGTGGAAACCACCTACCAGTAGGTGCATCAAGACACCGCCGAGAGTTGACCACCAGTGTTGTCAGGGCAGCAGGCCACAAACCAACAACGAGCAAAGACGTCGAATCCCGAAAATGGTCAACTGGTGGAGATGATCATAACAATGGTTGCACAAGCGGTCCAAGAAAATGTGGCTAAATTGAGAAACCATTAATCGGCCCCTCAAGACCTTGATTCGACCATGCTTTACTGATGTTACACCAACAGGTCAGAATTCAGCCGGCAACCAATCTAGTTCATCGCCATCTAGGAACGGTTGAAAATCCCAACACTGTCAGGCACATTCAGCTCATGAACGAGAATCTCATAGGCAAACTAACCCCAAGAGGCGACCATGCAAAGAGCCTATGAGGGAAGATGAAGGCAATGGTCGCCAGAGGGATACTCGACCTACTCAAAGATATCCCTAACGTCAACATGCTGCTTTTAACCCACGCCAAGGCATGCTCAAACCTCGCAAGTTTGCAAGATGAGTAATGTGCGCCAATGTGGCAATGTCCGACATTCCGATTACAACCAACGTTGCAAGCAACGCACTGATGAGCATGATAGCACTTACCAGCCAAGCCATCATGACTCAACTTTGCACATTAATATGCACGATAGAGGGGCCTCACAAGCAATAGACTTACGAACTCATCTGCTCGAGGTAAGGCTGAATAGAGTTAGCCAGGGCAATCCCACGAAGACTTAGAGCAAGTGCAGAGAATGCTCAATGATTTAAGAGCCCACCAGAACAATGCAGCCGAAGAGATAGTGAGCTCTCCATTCACATAAGAAGTTTGCCAAGCCTCTCTTCCCTAGGGATTCAGGGTGCCAAAAAGCAAGTTTGATGGGAAGGGAGATCCTAGAGACCACCTTGACACTTTCAACGACCTGATGGAGCTACACCAAGTCTATGACTTTGCAAAATGCTACTACTTTGAAGTCACATTGGTAGAGGATGCCAAGAGGTTGTACAAGAGGCTCAAGGCGAACTCAATTAGTTCTTGGCAATAATTCTCCTTGTTATA